GTATGTGTGTGTGTGTTTGTGTTTGTGATTTATTTATACACCTAGCTCTATATCATTGTAACTGGATATGATCAGTACTAAATGGAAAGGGTGTAGATACTGTAATACCATAATACATAGCGATTGAGTGAAGTTTAAGAGGGTTAGAGCATTTGATATTGAAATACTACAAAGGCCTGAGTCCTGGTTAGCTGTCTCGCCCTCCGCGCCATCACCATCCCAAACCACATCACCTTCTTCACCATCACCAGCACGGCCGTTGGCTTCTCCTCACGCTCTCACTCTTACTCTCACTCTCTTACTCACGTTCTCATTCTCATTCACTCTCTCACTCACTCACTCACTCTCATTTTCACTCCCACTCTCACACCCATTCTCTCTCTCTCTCTCTCTCTCTCTCTCTCTCTCTCTCTCTCTCTCTCTCTCTTTCTCTCTTTCTCTCTTTCTCTCTTTCTCTCTACCAGTGTCATGGTCATAGTTTTTGTTTGTTTTTCTGTGTTTGTTATGAAACGTCAGCTAACGTCGTTTATGATTAATTCAATGTTGAATAATGAATGGGATTTCCATCAGACATTTGGCATTGATCAAAGCTTGTATATAACTATTTGTTAAATCCCATACCTTGACAAGAGAGAGAACTTTCTGAATTAATCCGTCAGCCCGCACTCGAACACGTGTATCGCCGACCTTGCGCGGGGAACAGCGGGGTCATTCTCTCGCCCCGCAGCATCAGATATCCGACGCGCCAGCTCATCTGGACGTGTCTTTGGTGGCCGTTGGTGGGGCTCTTCCCCCTTGCGCGTGGAAGCAGCCGGGGTGAGGTTTGAGGTGGATGTGGTGGCCGGGGGGCGTAGGCGTGGGCGTCGGTCGAGCCCCGTAGCTCCCTAGGGCGCTGTTTAGGTAATGGTTATCGGGCAAATTTGTCTGTCTTGTTGATGCGCTGCAATGACAGGACAGCCCCATAGCCCACAGCATTGGTTACAGTGAAGCACGGAAGGCTTGGTCGCTGTCATCCGCGCGCGTCGCCGTGCCTGGCCTGCGCCGCGTCCGTTCGCACGTGCTAGGATTCGCCAGCCAGAGACCGAGACTGATGGCCAGACGTCTCGGGCTTGAGTGACCGAAGAGTCCAGTCCCCGGAGTTGGTGATAGGAGCTAGCGCTGCGCCATTGACGGATGAATAGATAGATCGATAGATAAATCGACAAGGAAGTGGGTTGAGTGGGTTGACTGATCTGTTGATTGATTGATATAAATGCAAACGAAGAGATACGGGGATTACATAGACAGGTATGCTGAGGCAGGGAAGCGCGGGCAACATAGGGTAAACTGAAGCCCACATGCGAACTGCATAGGGGCTTCAGTTTACCCTTTGTTGCACTGCATATGCTGACGCTCTCCCGCCACGAAAATTGATAGGTTGTTGGGGCGAACTTTCGGGCTGGAGACATTGTATTTATTCTTTCATTGATTTAGTTTGTAAACTTAGTTATCTATTCATTCATTCATTTATTATGTACATTTAGTTACGCATTCATTCATTTATTGATGGATTGATGTATATTTAGTTTGTTCCATTCATGACCAAGAGAAGTGTGTGTGTTCTGGGTTGCCGGTCTCCCCTGTGCGTGCGCGCCGTTGTTGTTACTCTCTCGCTCACCGCACACGGGTCGATGTAAAGAGGTCAGCGCTTAAGAACACTATTCGCAAGAGCGGCTGAAAGGTGCGAGGCAAATAAAGTCCGTGATGGACGACTTGAATGGCCAGAGTGAAGGCGGGTGGAGGCGGTGGTGGTGGGCGCCGGGGAAGGTGGAGCTCGCGTGGGGGGGGGGGGTCGGTCCGTCGATCCGAAAGGCCGGCGGAAATGTTGGTTGTTGTTAGATGATGTCGCCAAGAAATATGGGGATTCGATTAGATAGTGTCAGCAGTGTTAGAGTTCTGATTAGATATCGGTAGAATGATTAGAAGGGCTATTATCGGTGTTTTATTCTTTTTTTTATGAAGGTTATTAATATTTTCAGTGTTGAATCCTTACGCTCTAATGATTATTATTATTTGAGGGAACTGGCGCTTAGAGGCTTTTGTGCACATGTCTTTTGTACCTCGTTTCGAAAATCTGTTTGCGACAGAGAGTGATAATGATGGCATAAATATAGATTTAATCGGGTCAGTCTCCCTTCCAGTAAACATACACCGCAATGTCCATCTTTCCCTTCGGAATACCGACCAGCCTCCAGCCCTCTCCCTCTCTTGGCACTCTCTCTCTCTCTCCTGGCACTGCCTCCAGCCCTCTTTCTCTCCTGGCACTGCCTCCAGCCCTCTCTCTCTCCTGGCACTGCCTCCAGCCCTCTCTCTCTCCTGGCACTGCCTCCAGCCCTCTCTCTCTCCTGGCACTGCCTCCAGCCCTCTCTCTCTCCTGGCACTGCCTCCAGCCCTCTCTCTCTCCTGGCACTGCCTCCCGCGCTTCTGAACTCATCCGCGGCGGTGCCAGAGGAGGCGAGGGCGGAGACACATGGAGTCAATAAAACATTGTGTGAATCGTGTGGCTCAAAAATGTCAAGTAGATTATCAAGCCTCAAGTGCTGGCGAGGCGGTGATACTCGGAAGGCCTTGCGGGACGCTGATAAAAGGGGACGTCTATCTGGGTGGAGGAGGAGGTGGCGGCGGCGGAGGTGGCGGCGGCGGAGGTGGAGGTGAAGGAGGTGGAGGAGGTGGAGGTGGTAGTTGTGGTGTTGAGAAGGAATGAGAGGAGAGGAAAGAAAAGGAAAGGAAAGGAAAGGAAAGGAAAGGAAAGAATAGAAGAGGAGGAGGTAGGGGAGGAGAGGAAAGGAGAGGAAAGGAAAGGAAAGGAAAGGAAAGGAAAGAAGAGGAGGAGGTAAGGGAGGAGAGGAGAGGAGAGGAGAGAAAGGGAAAGGAAAAGACAGGAAAGGAAAGATAGAAAAGGAGGAGGAGGTTGGGGAGGAGAGGAAAGCAAAGGGAAGGAAAGGATAGAAAAGGAGGAGGTAGGGGAGATAGGAGATGATAGGAAAGGAAATGAAAGGAAAGGAAAGGAAAGGAAAGGAAAGGAAAGAAGAGGAGGAGGAAGGAAATTAAAAGAGAGAATGAAATGAATGGAGAGGAGGAGGAAGGCGAAACTTGACGAGAGAAAGAGGATGAGGGCGAAAGAGGGAAGAGGCGGAGGAGACCTACGGGAAGGAGAGGAAGGAAGGAACAAGAAACAAGAAAGGAACGTAGAGGTTGGGAGGTCAATTGCATAGAAAATCATCGATCGTCTTTCCGGTGATCCTTAGTCGTTGTCAGGAAAGTAAGAGACGAAAATAATGATGGTGATGATGATGATGGAGATAATGATGGTGATGATGGTGATGGTGATGGTGGTAATGGTGATGATGATGATGGCGGTGATGATGATGATGGTGGTAATGGTGATGATGATCATGGCGGTGATGATGGTGATGATGATGATGGCCGTGATGATGGTAATGGTAATGGTGATGATGATGGCGGTGATGCGGGTGATAGTGATGATGATGATGGTGATGAAGAAGGAAGGGGTGACGAAGAAGACTCGGAGGGGGGGGGGGGGTTAGAGCGGGTTGTCCCTGTGTCCCTGGCCGTGGTGTCGCGTCGGTCGCCGGGTGGCTCTCCGGCCGTGTGGGTGCAGCTCGTTATCGTGGTTTACCCGCGTGTTATCAGCGCAGGCACTTGAGAGCCACTTGAAACCGACGATAAACAGCATCTAGACGCGCTAGGGGCCTCTCCACCAACCTAAATTGTTACGCGGCACTTAGTTTATGGTGCCCGGCCGCTGTTTGATACGCACTCGCCCCCCACTCGGGCTTGGTCGCTCGTATCCGCGCCTTCCGCACTCTGCCCCCCCCCCCCCTCCCTCCCCTCCCCCCACCTCTGTGTGTGTCTCTCTCTGTCTGTCTTTCTGTCTCTCTGTCTCTGTATCTCTATTTCTCTCTCTCTCTCTCTCTCTCTCTCTCTCTCTCTCTCTCTCTCTCTCTCTCTCTCTCTCTCTCTCTCTCTCTATCTATCTATCTATCTATCTCTCTATCTCTCTCTCTCTATCTCTCTCTCTCTCTCTCTCTCTCTCTCTCTCTCTCTCTCTCTCTCTCTCTCTCTCTCTCTCTCTCTCTCTCTCTCTCTCTCTCTCTCTCTCTCTCTCTCTTTCTCTCTTTCTCTTTCTCTCTCTCTCTCTCTCTCTCTCTCTCTCTCTCTCTCTCTCTCTCTCTCTCTCTCTCTCTCTCTCTCTCTCTCTCTCTCCCATACTCTCATTCTCTTCCCATTCTCTCATTCTCTCTCCCTCCCTTCCGCCCTCCCTCCCCCCTCCTTTCCCCCTCCCACCCTTCCCCTCTCTTCTCCCTTTCCCCCCTCTCCCCTTCTCCCTCTTTACCCCTTCCCTCCCTCACCTCCCCTACCCCACTCCCTCCCTTTTTCCCCTCTCCCCCTCCTCCCTCCGCCCCCTCGCCCCGTCCCCCCGCGGCCGCAGCAGGAGCATCCTCCTTAAGGCCCGCAACCCGTCGCGTCCTAAATTTGTCTCTTGCGTCCCGAGAGCCATAAACACGACTGGTTTCCGCCACCTGCGTCGGCCGCGTGAGAGCGACCCTCCGAGCGAGTCCGGCTCTCCGCAAGCCTCGGCTTCGCGACCAGCTGGATGATGTATACAGCGCTCGTGTGTTGTGGTTTCTAATGAGCGGCTGCTGGAGCTGGCCGCGGGAGAATGCGCGGCGGGCGGCGGTGGCAGTCCGGCCGAACGAACGTAAATTTGTTCTTGCCAAATATGTTGCCGTTGCAGCCTCGACGCCTTGCGCGGGTCGGCTTTACTTCGCTTGACAAATGGATGTGCTTACCCTCGCCTCTGGCAGGTCGCTGGTAATGCTATCGTCTTGAAGTTGGTCTTCAGACTCGAGTTTTTCTTTCAGCTTTTTTCCATTGAGTTCCATTGCGCTGAACAACCACGAAGCCCTAGAGGTTGTTGACAAGAGTGTGATGAAAGCATGGGGCCTCGCCGGCGGCTCGTTGGCGATGGGTCGTGGACGGCGCCCTCGAGCCCATTGATCGCGAGGGTGAGATGCGAAAGACGGACAGGGTTGTGGACAGGGTTGTGAGGAGGGGGAGGGGGAGGGGGAGGAGGAGGGGGCGGTCGCTCGGCGGGCGATGCATCATGCATGAGTCCGCTGCGAACACATCTTTAGGGACGTATTGGTGTTTTTATGGCGGCAGCTACCGCAGTGCCTAATCTGCAAGGCTTCATGCAAATGCCCTGTCGTAAAAGGGTTAATTGAGACTACCAGGCGGGCATTAGTGACGATAGTGAGCGCGTCAGGTTGGTTTAAATGTTTATGTTTCGTTATAATTAAAGTGGAAATAGACTCGCCAGCTCCACGACGATGTTGGGGCGGTTAAGTTACCTCGCCTGGGCAGGTGCAGCGCCGCCGACGTCTTCATCGCCCGCGCGCGTCCTGCCGCGGCGGGCGCTCTGCCGCAGCCGACCTGCCTCGGCGGCGCTCGCCTCTCCTGTCGTCTGCGAGGCGCCGTGCGATGCACTTCCCCGTCAGATGCTGAGCCCTCGGCACAAGGGCGCCGGCTCGATGCCCTTGTGGGTTCTCTCGTGTTGCGGGGCGCGAAGGGCGTCCTGGAGCGGCCAAGGCGAGTCCTGAAGGAGCTGACGGGCGCCGGCAGCAGCAGCAGCAGCAGCGTGGGTTGGTGTTGCAGGGCTGAGGCTCGGCAGCAATTCTGGTTTGTAAGGCTCTGACGTCCCGTCCCGCCTCAGGATTTTATGACGTCATCAGCTGCTAACTCCGGTCGCCTCAGACATTTAATACACTCGGCGCTTCTTTACGGCGGAACGTGGAAACGCTATATTGTCCCGCGGGTTCCTTCCTCCACCTGCTGCTGCGGCCGCCTCGCCTGGCGGGGCGGGGGCGAGCGCCGCGCTGATGCTCCCCCGACGCAGGGCCCCCGAACCCCGGCCCTGCGGCGCTGGCGGGAAGGCTGCGGCCGCTCGCGGACGTGGGAGTCAGTCGCTGGGCACTGGCGGGGAAAGAGAGCAGGTGGTTCGGAGAATGAGTGAGGCAGGAAATGGAAGATATTGAGTGACCGAGAGTTTTCTTGCGCAGGATTGTATGTGTGCTGCTTGTGCTTCCTTGCCCCATTTATTCTACTTTTACCGTATACACATATGGCTCACACGGCATTGTATGACTTGCAATTCTCCGCATTGCTGATATCACTATTCTGTAAGGCAAGTGGGGGTTGAGAGATGTCAGTCACAGTGAATTGTGCAGTCTCATTCCCCCATTCATAATACTCTGTATGTGTTCTAATCGGCTTTTCCTTCTCCCTTCCAGCCTGGCGGAAGTCACTCCAGCTCCGAGCAAGGATATATCGTGAGTAGCCGCGTCTTTCGTCTTCGAGTTAGTCTTCTTTCAGTGATTTCTGCGTCGAGCTTCGCCGAGGGCTCGGGCGCGCGGTGACTAATGGCCGCGGGGTCGGGCGGCCGAGGGAGACGCGCCCCGGTGGTGTGATATATTTCCTCTTCTTGTTGATTTCATTCAAACATCTGAAATGCGATCCAGTTTCTGTGCGTTCCATTGGAAGGGACTGTCAGCTGGTGCGACGGGGATGACGGCGCAGTCGGGCCGCATAGACATACATATACATATACATATACATATACATATACATATACATATACATATACATATACATATACATATACATATACATATACATATACATATACATATACATATACATATACATATACATATACATATACATATACATATACATATACATATACATATACATATACATATACATATACATATACATATACATATACATATACATATACATATACATATACATATACATATACATATACATATACATATACATATACATATACATATACATATACATATACATATACATATACATATACATATACATATACATATACATATACATATACATATACATATACATATACATATACATATACATATACATATACATATACATATACATATACATATACATATACATATACATATACATATACATATACATATACATATACATATACATATACATATACATATACATATACATATACATATACATATACATATACATATACATATACATATACATATACATATACATATACATATACATATACATATACATATACATATACATATACATATACATATACATATACATATACATATACATATACATATACATATACATATACATATACATATACATATACATATACATATACATATACATATACATATACATATACATATACATATACATATACATATACATATACATATACATATACATATACATATACATATACATATACATATACATATACATATACATATACATATACATATACATATACATATACATATACATATACATATACATATACATATACATATACATATACATATACATATACATATACATATACATATACATATACATATACATATACATATACATATACATATACATATACATATACATATACATATACATATACATATACATATACATATACATATACATATACATATACATATACATATACATATACATATACATATACATATACATATACATATACATATACATATACATATACATATACATATACATATACATATACATATACATATACATATACATATACATATACATATACATATACATATACATATACATATACATATACATATACATATACATATACATATACATATACATATACATATACATATACATATACATATACATATACATATACATATACATATACATATACATATACATATACATATACATATACATATACATATACATATACATATACATATACATATACATATACATATACATATACATATACATATACATATACATATACATATACATATACATATACATATACATATACATATACATATACATATACATATACATATACATATACATATACATATACATATACATATACATATACATATACATATACATATACATATACATATACATATACATATACATATACATATACATATACATATACATATACATATACATATACATATACATATACATATACATATACATATACATATACATATACATATACATATACATATACATATACATATACATATACATATACATATACATATACATATACATATACATATACATATACATATACATATACATATACATATACATATACATATACATATACATATACATATACATATACATATACATATACATATACATATACATATACATATACATATACATATACATATACATATACATATACATATACATATACATATACATATACATATACATATACATATACATATACATATACATATACATATACATATACATATACATATACATATACATATACATATACATATACATATACATATACATATACATATACATATACATATACATATACATATACATATACATATACATATACATATACATATACATATACATATACATATACATATACATATACATATACATATACAAGGATATATCGTGAGTAGCCGCGTCTTTCGTCTTCGAGTTAGTCTTCTTTCAGTGATTTCTGCGTCGAGCTTCGCCGAGGGCTCGGGCGCGCGGTGACTAATGGCCGCGGGGGTCGGGCGGCCGAGGGAGACGCGCCCCGGTGGTGTGATATATTTCCTCTTCTTGTTGATTTCATTCAAACATCTGAAATGCGATCCAGTTTCTGTGCGTTCCATTGGAAGGGACTGTCAGCTGGTGCGACGGGGATGACGGCGCAGTCGGGCCGCGTGGCAGAGG